TTGCCCAAAGGGCAAGTGGTAAAAATCCTTAACGTCAACCCCTGCCAATCAACTCAACAATCCTGGGTTAAATTTTTAGTTTTAGGAAAGAAAAGAAAAGATAAGAGTCAAAGTTTTCTTAAACATACTCAGAAATTCACAAATAATTAGTACTTTAGGCATCTGAGGGTTTGTTATTAGCAGATCAGAATTTCCAGTAATAATGTGAATTATTTTAAATTAATACGTTATATATCAAAAGAAACCCAACAACTGTATCCCATTGTGACATTTTTCCCATATAAGTTAATGTGCCGCACTAGTTCAGCTTCACTGAGACAGAAGCAGGGCTTTAAAGCAGAGCAGCTTTCTGAAAGCATGATTTCATTATTCCAAGGATAACCAAGTTGCTGCAGCCTTTATTAAAATCTTGCTCACAGAAATCTAATTAACCTGCTCAGCAGCAAACATGCATGCGGTAAGCTAACAGAAACAAATGGACCATGTCATATTTAATAGATTTCTGCAGGTGGATCCATTTTTGGTGGCCTACCTTCCATGTGGCTGACTTCACATTAACGGTGCGCCCTCTGCTGGTGAGGGTGCATTTCATCCGCAGGAAGAAGTTCCGCTCTGTGCTCGGTTCCTTGACTTTCTTGGACCCTGACATCACCAAACGACAGAGATGGAGCGAGAGTTGTAAAACAGAGAAGCGTCACCTCAGCTGCACTTCTAACAGTGAGGGTTTATATCCCATCTATCAACGGTTTTATGACTTTACTTTCAGTATAACCTCAACCAGCTGCTCACATTTGCATAGAGAAGACATAAAACCGTAAAGGGACCGAGAGATTAAGAAAAAGGAAGTGGAGTTACGAGCAGTTACAGCTCAGACGAAGTCAGCATATGCAGAGCTTTTTTTTTTTTTTTCTTGTACAGCTTTGTTCTACAGAAGTGGAAGTTTCTCATAAAAAAACAATGAAGCGGCGCTCACCGGATCTGTAGACCAGCATCTCCCTCAGCTCCTCCTGGTCGCAGGGATGAGTAAAGTCAAACACACTGTGTCCGATCAGGTCAAACTGCAACAGAAAGCCCCACATGAATGATTAACTACAACTAAATGCAACTAAGAACAAACATTATAAACATCTGTATGAAATTCAAATATAACCCTGACCACAGCTAAAAACGGACTGTGATAATATTCCGAGCAGACCCACCTGCGCCAGCCCGAGGCACCTGTTGACATTTTCTGAGATATAGATCATATCTCCATCTTCAGACAGCACAATGAGAAAGCCATCTAAAGCTTTCAGGTAGGAGCCATTCAGCTGCTCATCGAGTTCGGTTTTCTCTTCTGCCACCAGCTCATCTGGATCACAGAGAGGGAAGGAGATGAGAACAAATGAAATTATGCAAACTTAACAAAAACCACAGTGGCTGGTGTAGATTAAGGCTTAATCTACACCAGGCTTAAGGCTTCCATCACCCTCTATGTGATGACCTAACCTTGCAGATCGTGGCTTTTCTAAGTTGGCTTAACAGTTTCTCCATTAATTTTGATTTTTGGCCAAAAAAGATCACAAATAATCTGCAAATATTAAAATGATTAATAGCATTTTGTCCTATACAGTTTTGCAGCTACCATCTTTAAGCCACATATCTGATATCAACTTCTGTCCCTTTTAAAAGAAATCTAATTTCGTAGAGAAAAGGAAAGCAGAAAAAAGGAAAGTATGACGACGGTGCTAAAATCCCCCACAGTAAACACCTAAAAGTGGTTGGCTGTAATCCAAAAGGTGAAGGTTTGTAAAGGATCAGTAGCAGTAGCGCATTAGCAAATAAAAAGCCTCATTTGTGTGGGAGCGGGCTGGATTCTAAGAACCATAGATCTATAACTCATTATGTTCTGGATTTGCTGCACGCTGGTGTCTGTACCCCCCAGCAAAAACACAAATTTTTTCAACCTCCTACATTTTTCAGAGCAATCAATGAACAACTTATCTGAAATGTGTGTTTTGTTTGCACAGAATGACGCAAACTACAGCTGGTCTTACTTTGGTTTCGTTTACAAGATCATTTCTTTGTTCTAATGAATATTTTATAGTAAGGAATAATCTAAGGCTTTGCTGAACATACAAAGAATACATATCTATTAGGATCAAAGTTTTTCACAGCGTTTTGTTTTTTAATGGAAAATAATTGTTTTTCTGTATAGAAAAGAAGTCTGTCCTACACTTGGAAACATTCCCGGTTTATTAAATGTAAATCTAGGAATGTATTTCAGATCTACCAGATTAGCCGAAAACATCCCCTCTGACCCCAACTATTGACCAACTTATCAATGGATGCTGCTATTTTCTGCTCCCAGTGATGGGCTTCAGTTTAATGCACGGCAGCGCCACACATTTAAGACGTGCTCCGCATCGTTGACTCAAATGTCGAATGTAATAATAGAATATCCTTGAAAACCAAGCAGTGAGCCATGACACTGAGCCGTTTACCCTCTTCTAGAACGACAGGTACTGACCAATGCAGAGCAGTTTTCGCATGCGCAGGTAACTGATGGTCAGCCTCATGATGGACGCCTTGTCCAGGCTGGAGCTGGTGCTTTGGGGGAGGGGCAGCTGCTTGGCCAGCTCGTAGAACACCTCCGACTCCTTCCCGCGCCGGCATCTCGCTGCATCCCTTGACTTCTCCTTTCTGCGCTCCGAACTCACCCTGCATGGAGACAGGCAAGGGGTTAATCACAACCTGGACTCATGATGGGTTTCCGACAAAAAGCAGCATCTCTGCTGTTAAACCAGGACATTTCTGAGGTCCCTGGTCTGTCAAACACTCCAGCAAATGGCTCAACAAACAGCCTCTTTTATAAAGATCTATTTCCACATACAGCCATTTAAAAGCATCTTCCTGGCTGCTAACCAACAGAAACAATACCCAGCCTCTGATGTAATTTACCAGGAGGAAGCGCAGCCTGTTTTGGCAGCTACGTGGAGACAACAATCACTGAGACGCTGGCAGCTTTTATGAAACAAGCAATGAGAAACAGAGAAGAGGGAAACACACATTTTATCTGCAAGATAATTACCCAGAATATTCTCATTATGCAATATCAATAACCTAGTTAATGTGACCCCACATAAAGATCTTCAGATAAACACCCTTTGAAGCAGACTTCAAATGATCTGATATAGCCTATGAGGACAAGCTTTAAAGTGCTTTGCTTTCAAGTCATGTGTTGATTCTGAATTTTTACTGTAAAGCTCCTTCTGTTCCCTGAAACCAACACAAAAAAAACCTAAACACATTAAGCCAACACTGGAGATGCACCAGAACTGAATGTACATCAGTTCAAAAGCTCTTGAAATGCACATCCAATTAAAATCGATCTGGTGTGCACTTACAGCAGCGACCAAGGGCGTTATTGTTATTCTGGCCTTCCCATGCAGAAAATAGAGCGGCACATTAAAATGAGCGTAACGCCGATTAAATCAGCTGGCAGAGCAACAGGAGACTTCAGGTTTAAAACTAAAAGTTTCCATTACATGAGTGGGATGTGTGAACCGCTTGACAACAAAGATAATCGGTCCGCTGAGGTTAAACCTCCGTCAGGTCTGAGCAGGGCTTTGTCTCTCAGGAAGTTACTAACAGCTGTTAAATGAAACGGCACTGATCCAAAAACTTCCGACAGATAAACTAACACAGAAAAAAAAAAAAAAAAATGATAACCCATTTGGCAGTCTTTGTCCTCTCTGTTTTTGATGACAATGTCTGCATCTTTCATTTACAACGCTTTTCCGCCAAGCTGCATTCGCATAAAAACCAGGGATTGTTAACAATATAGACTTAAAAATATTTGTTATTTATTGGATTAAAATTAGCTCTATCCAATTAACTGATAAAGTCTGCTCAAAAAGAGTTTGTTTCCAGTGTTGTAGTGCTACCGCCAGTTGTTTACTCTTCAGCAGAGCCATACTGGTATTAGTAAGAGAAGCAATGCTTAAGCGGAGACATGCTAAAACTTAATTGATCGATACTAGGGATGTGCAATTAATTGCATCTGCAATATGATCACAATTTAGAAAAATGCATTTTCAAATCACAGAGGCACAAAACTTTTAGTCACAATACACTTAAGAGTAAGACACTAAATTTCTCCCTCCAGCCCTTTAGGTGGCGGTAAAATGATTAAAGTGGGTATGCTGTCACACAAAAGGTAAAAAAGAGTTACAGCTAGCACCTAGATCTATGCATTATAGTAGAAGTAAGAACTGTTTCCTGGAAATGTTACAGTAAAGTCCTAAAAAACTGGATTCTGGACAAGCAGGCTTTTAAGGTCATAAAAAAATGGAAATCTGGAGTAGAAAGACATGCTTGTGCTTAGTGCAAAGGAAATTGCAATATTGGTTGAAAATTATCGCAATTTGGAGTTTTTGACAAAATCGTTCAGTCCTAATTCAGACACTGTTTATGATGCAGAATGCACTTTATAGTTTGTTCCGTTTTAATATAAACACGATTAACTCCTTATGTTGTTACCTAATTAGTGCCTATTTAGCAGAGCTACTTGGCAAAGCGGAGTAACCTGTCTGCTGTGTTAGGAAAGAGAGGATGTGATGATAGAATGTGTATCTCTGCTTCTGTCTCCTTGAACCCCAGTCGGCCTCGGCAGAAGGCCGCTCACACCAAGTCTGATTCTGCTAGAGGTTTCTTCCTTTTAAAAGGGAGTTTTTCCTCTCCACTGTCGCTACAAGCATGCTTAGTGTGAGGGATTGCCTTTGAGTCAATGAGTCGAGGCAATCAACTGGTTTTCCTTAGATAGAAAACTTTGAATCAATTTGACTCAAGTGCCTTGAGATGACGTGTTGTGAATTGGCGCTATAGAAATAAACTGAATTGAATTAGAGGGCATTAGGGTTGTCAAAAGTATCGACACTCAAAAAAGTATCGATACTGAAATGTTGTATCCGGATACAATACTCATTTTCAAAAGTATCGATACAGCCATCTAAAGAGCAGAATAGTGGAAAATGCACTTTCTGAACACTGTGTGATTGAATAATTCTGTGCAGCTGCTGAATATTATTTTTGTTTAACTGGTTTGGCTAGAGATCAACTTCATACAAGAGAAAAACACTTACGTTTTTATGAAACTGGATGCTTATCAATTAATTTTCAGTGGATTGATAGGATCAATCAAATTAAGATTAATTCATCAATCAATAACTTGAATCCCTGATAAAATGACATTTGTATTACATTGGAGCTATTACAGGGGCCACTGTGAGCAGGTGGCAGAGTCTAACCTCTAAACACCCCCAGGCACTTTGGTCCCACAGTAACCACTGATAAGTGTTGGCATGCATTCAAATTCAAAGACCACAATCTACTAAAAACCAATCTTTTGTGCAAAAGACACAAGAAAATATTCTGCAGAAACAACTCAATGTATAAATCTACCATAAAGGAGTCGATTCAGCTGGTGACTGTGTCTTTATGAGGTGGAAACTCCAAACAGACAAGGAAGCTGATTTTTCCCGTTATGCAGACTTTAACAAATACTAATAATCATTTATCTGATTTTGCTCACAAATATGCAATAAAAGCAACATCATAAAGAGCAGCAGGGGATCCCTTCACACGCATTCAAAGCAAACAACTCTCTCTTATTCAAATCTTTTAGTTTGCATTCTGGACTACAGCAGTATGTGATCAAAGTTAGAGGCTGAATTCATGATCAACTGGATAAAAGGTTAGAAGGGAAAAGGGCCCCGCATGAGAATCACCTTGACCAGTGCCTCCAGTGTTGTTTTTGTACTCTGTTACTCTGGGCTGACCTATTTTAGAAGAGTGCTGCTCTCCTATCTCACTGTCCTGCTCAGTGTGACGATAAACATGGTCCCATTATATAATCCAGTGCGTAGAAACACTGCTATGCTCTCGGGACCGCCAAAGACAGACAAACAAAACATGTTTTCTGTTATTCTGTTACAATTAAGTACGTCAAATATGCTTTCTTTCCAAATTCTTTTAACTACGGACATACTGTCATCATGATAAGGTCCTTTACAGCACAGTTTGGTTCAGATGCACTAATAATTGAGCTTGTGACTGGAATCAATTTACTTTAAGCTTGATCAGCACTTACCTGAGATATGCTGATCGGAAACAAACTGACCATTTAGCTCGGTGTGGAAGTTTTCACTGAGGGAGAAACATTTAAAAATCTCCCACTTTCCCTGTCAGTGAGCTGTTTAATAAAAGCGTTTGGAGGAAGCACTTTATCTGGCGTATTTTATGCATTTTCAACAAAATAAGAGATGGGTTTGCATTTCTGGTTGAGAGAGAGCAGGATTTACACCAGATAACAGGAAGGTTAAAAATTAATCGGGAATGTTTCTCTGGTACATTTCTTTATGAGAAAGGCTGCCACCTTTCTGCAAATCTTAAAGGTAAGCTACAGAGAGTTCTGTTCCCGCTGATTAAAGCTAGCTGTTATAAGATATAGCAATTTAAACAACTCTAAACATTTCATCTTTGTTTTGAAATAACGTCATACCCATATGTATAAATAATGATTGCTTACAGGCCAGGTAGGAAAAAAAGTGTGAAAGAATACTTTAATCTTCTAGTTCTAGAAGCCAAAATTAGTCAATAGCGTTTGCAGATCAGCGCTCTCTGAAAACCAGAACTCAGAAAACTACGGTAAAACAAAAGTCTCTAATTGATGCCTTGTTACAGTTTGGAAAAGGAGAAAATAGATGTTTAAAAGATCAGACATACAGTAATATACATTTTGACTGAAATTCAGAAATGTGCAAGGATGTAAACTCTGATAAGTTGCACTTAATTTAAAAACTAGCCTCTGGTTCTGCTTTTATAAAAATGTTTTTGGTTCTCCATTCCATTCTAAACACAGGAAATCAAAAACAATAAATACTCTGAACATTCATCCATTGATTGTGTCTTTTTATAAACAGACATATATTTTCTGAGTTTCAAGTCAGAAAAACCAGAAAGAATAACCTCATGAAATCAGAGTCGTTTGGGTTTTTTTAATCCAAAACTGAAAGTTTTGCTCGGTCACTGCTTGGTCCACAGTGACTTTCTCATGGGAAAATTTAATGATTATCTTTGAACTGCGTGAGGAGGTCCGCTTTTTTTTTTTTTTTTTTAATCAGACTCTTGGTCTCACCCCACTCATTATCTGACAGACCCAAAGTGGATTACGAGCCTCGCATATTTATCCAGAGTTATGACAAACTAAACAGCTTAAACTTGTTCCTACAAGGCCCAAACTAATGATTATTTTGCTACTTGATTAATCTGTCAACTATTTGTTAGATTAATATAAATTAAACTTTAATAAATGAAAACTTTTGCACTTGTGGATTTCTGGATAGAGCATATTGACAGATGAAAAGTTTTTTTTTTCCAAATATTAATTCTAAAATGTTTACACATTTCTTTACAATTTTGGTATAATTACAGCTCTAAGTGGGTTGCTCAGTCAGCTTAAGGCACATTTTAGTCTCTATACTCAAGTTTACATTTAACAGATTACTAAATTATTTCAATAATCCATAAATTACAAATAATCTGAATAATTGTTTCAGCCCAGACATACATTTTCTTGTGGTTTTTCTTTTTTTTTTATTCTCTCTGTTAGGTCACAGCATTTAAGAGAAAGCTGGAGCAGTGGGCTGTGCAAGTGGAGG